GGTGCAGCAGGCACAATGATATTACGCAGCACCTGAAAGTAGGCTTATTGGATGTTACCTAGCTGGGACTATTTTCAGGTGCTGTGTAATATCATTGTGCCTGCTGCGCCCATGGTACGGCAGCAAAGTTCCTTGATTATTATGCCGGAATGAGAGTATAGTTCCTAGCCATATTGGCCTAGAAAATTGCAGCTTTTTATTTTCCGTCGGCCTTAGTACACGATGTAACTACAGAAGAGTCAGAGCATTCTTGTAAGAGAGCATATGATCTGTGTACATATCTTTATGAACGTTAATTCCAGTTTTAATGTATAAAGTTCCAAGCGACGCCCCTTAGTTTTAAGTTGTCTTATTTCTGATGTAAACCAAGGTGCAGAATGAGTAAAATAAACAGTGCGACTGTCCAACAGCGACACCCGCAACCGCAGAGCCACACTCTAGCATTTATCCCATGTACCCTAGCAACCACATTGCAACACCTTAGCAATCACCCCGGGTACCCTAGCAACCGCATAGCAACAACCTAGCAACTGCCCTGGGTACCCTAGCAACCGCATAGCAACACCATAGCAACCTCCCCGGGTACCCTAGCAACCGCATAGCAACACCATTAGCAACACCTTAGTAACCACACGGGTATTCTAACAGCTGCATCTATCTATCTATCTATCTATCTATCTATCTATCTATCGTAGCGATGTGCTAATAATGCTAGAAACGTACTAACAACATGCTAGTAGCATGCTAATCATGCTAACAACATGCTATTGACATGCTAGTAACTTGGTAATCATGCTAACGACATGCTAGTCACTTGCTAATCATGCTAGCAACATGCTAGTAACATGCTAATCATGCTAGAAACATGCTAGTAACTTGCTAATCATGCTAACGACATGCTAGTCACTTGCTAATCATGCTAGCAACATGCTAGTAACATGCTAATCATGCTAGAAACATGCTAGTAACTTGCTAATCATGCTAACGACATGCTAGTCACTTGCTTATCATGCTAGCGACATGATAGTCACTTGCTAATCATGTAAGCAACATTTTAGTAACATGCTAATCATCCTAGGAACATGCTAGTGACATGCTAGTAACTTGCTAATGATGCTAGCGACATGCTAGTCACTTGTTAATCATGCTAGAAACATGCTAGCGACATGCTAGTAACTTGCTAATTATGCTAGCGACATGGTAGTCACTTGCTAATCATGCTAGAAATATGCTAGCGACATGCTAGTAACTTGTAAATCATGCTAGCGACATGTTAGTTACTTGCTAATCCTGCTTGCAACATGTTAGTAACTTGCATATAATGCTAACTATATGCTAGTCACTTGCTAATCATGCTAGCAAAATGCTAGTAGCATGCTAATCATGCTAGCAACCTGCTAGTAACTTGCTAATCATGCTAACAACATGCTTGTTACTTGTTAATCATGCTAGCAGCATTTTTAGCAAGATGCTAGTAGCATGCTAATCATGCTAGCAACATGCTAATCGTGCTTGCAACATGCTAGCAACATACTAGTTACTTGCTAATCATGCTAGAAACATGCTAATCATACCAGCAAAATGCTAGTTACAGGCCAATCATGTTAAAAACATGCTATTAATCATTAATTATTATTATTATATATTTAACATATTATCCACAAAACTGCAAATATGTTGAATAATCTGTAAATATGTCTATTCTTACTTGTCTTTATACTTGTTCATTTTTTTAAATCGTATTATTATGTGCCTTGTTGTATTTATATATAAATATATATATATATAGAAAGTCGCACTTGAAACCCAAAGGTCGCAGGTTCGATTCTCAGCACTGTCAGGGATTGTTGTCCCTACTTTGTGTTCAATACTGTGTGTGTGCACCTGGATGGGATAAATGCAGAGGACGAGTTCCGAGTATGGGACACCATACTTGGCCAAGTCACGTCTCTTTCACTTATACAGTGGGGGAAATATTTATTTGATCCCCTGCTGATTTTGTAAGTTTGCCCACTTACAAAGAAATGAAGGGTCTGTAATTTTTATGGTAGGTTTATTTTAATGTATAGAGACAGAATACCAACCAAAGAATCCAGAAAAAACACATTATATAAAGGTTAGAAATTGATTTGCATTTCAGTGAGTGAAATAAGTAGGGCTGGGTATCGTTCAAAAGTTTTCGATATCAATACTGATACCAATACCTTGACTTCGGTACCGGTTCCTGAACGATACTTTTTTCGATACCAATTTTATGAAATCAATTTTAACAAGATTACATTATCTAAAAAAAAAAACTTTGGTTTTATTTTTCAGCTTGTTGATGTTTATACAAACTCAAAGACTCATCTCCTGAGCAACTGCACAAAGAAACAAAATGTAAGCAACAGAATAAATCAGTGCAAATAATTTTAATAAAGCTCAACTAGTCTTCAGTTTACAAATCTGTTAGGCTACATTTACACTAGTTATTGTTCGTTTTAAAACGCATAGCTCAGACAGAATCATGATTTCTATTCATTTTCCACTGATTTACTGATGAGCATTAGCAGCTTCCAGC